TGCTCACTGGAATGACAGATCCTGAAGCTGAGGCTCCAATACTTTGGCCATCTCATGAGAAGAGAAGACTCCCTGGAAAAGCCCTGGATGTTGGGAAAGAGTGAAGGCAAGAGGAGAAGGGGACGACAGAGGATGAGATGGTTGGACAGGGTCACTGAAGCGACCAACATGATTTTGACCCAACTCCAGGAGGCAGTGGAAGACAGGGGGGCCTGGCATGCTCTGGTCCATGGGGTCATGGAGAATTGGACATGACTTAATGACTAAACAACAACAATTATGGGATTAACATGTCTACTCTTCCTTCTCTTCCTCCTCCCCTGTCTTGCTGTCACAACAGCCCCATGAGATTTTGAGGTTGTTCTTGACTTTATGTACCTTGGCTCACCGAACTCTGACAATCTCTCCATAGATGTTTGAGCTGGAGAAACGCCTTGCCAAAGCAGCCACCATGATCTCTAGACTCACAAAGAGAGTATGGCTTAATAAGAAACTGGCGGCATACACCAAGATCCAGGTCTATAGAGCCTGTGTCCTGAGCACACTCCTGTACTGCAGTGAGTCCTGGACCCTTTGTGCACGGCAGGAGAGGAAGCTTAACCCATTTCATAGGTGTTGCCTCTGACACACTTTTGGTATCAGCTGGCAGGACAAAGTTCCAAATACAGTAGTTCTAGAACGAGCTGGAATTTTTAGCATGTATACATTACTGAAACAGCGACGTCTACATTTGGCTTGTTGTGAGAATGGCTGATGGTCGGATTCCAAAAGATTTCCTGTATGGAGAAATGTGTGCAGGGAAAGCGCCCCAAGGGGAGACCACAGCTGCGATACAAGATCTACAAGCGGGATCTGAAGGCTTAGGAATGGACCTCAACAGATGGGAAACCTTGACCTCTGAGTGTTCAGCCTGGAGGCAGGCAGTGCATCACGACCTCTCCCACTTTGAAGAGACCCTTGTTCCGCAGGCCAAGGCAAAGCAGCAAAACCAGGGAGCTGGACAGGGGACAGATTGGATTTGTCTTCAGTGTGGAAGAGATTGTCACTCTCGAATTGGCCTTCTCAGCCCCACTAGACGCTGTTCCAAGACCTCTGTTCAGAGCATGTTACCATAGTCTCTCAAGAAGGAAGGATGCCTACCATTGCTTCCTTCTCTTCTTCCTGTCCTGTCTTATTGTCACAACAGTCCCATGAGATAGGCCAGGTTGGAGAGAGAATCGGGGTGGAAAGAGGGCTTGAACCCAAGATGCTTCACCCTCACTTTCCCTCTGACATTTGGGAGTTCCTTCCCACCCAGTCAGGAGACTGTTCATCATCTCCAGCAGAAACTTCATTTGGGACCGCATGCCCAGAAAAAGAAAAAAGGGCATTTGTAGTTTGGAGCGAACTGGGTTACACAGAAGAAGGAGAACTAGAAACAAAAGGGGCTGCTTAAAGATCATTTAGTCCAGCCCCTGCCAAGGGGGAGAGGCATCACAGATAGATGGACCCATTGATGATTCCAGACAACTCGGTCCATAGGCTTGCTGGCTTCCTCGGGAGTTTGCCCCCATTGACAATGCCATCAAGATAAATCTGCAGAAAAGTCACCAGACTTCGCCAGCAATTAAAGCTTCAAGTAACTAAAGCTTTCATTGCCTTCCCACGAAGAATCGCTTTCTGGGGAAAATTATATATTTATTTGTTCAACTTTTGGCTCTCTGCGGTATTACAGGTTGAGCATCATCAGTCCTGTTCTGACTTTGGAGCCCTACTTTGGGGAGCCCTACTTTGGGAATTGCAGAAATTCACCACCACTTAGTGTGATACTGACTCTGATGGTCCTCCAAGGAGGTTTTGATGAATATTTCCACAGAGGTTCCAAGTTAAGTCACCCCTCAACAAATAACCACCCCTCAAAAGCCTCCCAAGAAGATTTATTGGGACCATCAACTTAGCATGGAAAGAAATCTTCCCGTCCTTGGAAGTTTTCAAACGGAGGCTGGGTGGCTCTTTCCTAAGGATGCCTCAGCAGGGGTTGGACTAGATGACCTTCAGGCCCCACAGTCCTGTGATTCGATGAGATGAATAGATCTCACCCAGAATCCCAAGACAGGGAGAAAGCTAGGCTCCATGTTAGATGGCATACCTTGTTTTTTACATGACTGGTTCCTAAATCTCTAGAAACAAATGAACAATAAAGGGCCTGGTCTAATGACAGCTAAAACAAGTAACATGGGATAATTACAAGCATCTAAAGCTGGGCTGAAGGCTGTAGTTCATCACCTCAGCCAGAAGCTCGGGCAGCACCTTCCCCCAAATTATATTTTTTTTTAAACTTGGATTTCAGTTCTTTATAGTCTTAGAGTGACCAAGTTGGAATGGGCCTTTGTAGATCATCCAGTCCAGCCTCTGAAACAGAAAACCACCAACCAATTTGGATCTGCCACCATGAATGAGACCTTCCCGGAGACACAAAGGTTGAACCTCATGAATTTCCAGGAACCTGCTCTCCCATAAGGCTGGAAACTGGGTTTTGGCCCACACAGAGGAGCATCTCAGGTAGGTGGCTCTGTATCCTAAACAAACTTTCCCCTCTTTGATTTTTTTTTTGATAGGTGAGAAGACCTGCTTGACCACAACCATCTCTGCATCCAGGAAGGCTGCCCTCCCTCTACCTTCTCCAGAGGTTTTGCAAATTTCCCTACTTCTCACCTCTTGACATGGCATTGATCTGGAGCTATGGGGTGCTGTGACTCAGTAGAGGGAAGGCACAGAGAGGGAGGGAGGGAGGGAGGGAACAACCCAGCACAGCTCAATTATATTTTATTAATTACTGAGTGAATAGGAAGGAGAAGGTCCAGCCAACGCCAGGGAGAGCCAGAAGATGTGGAACCCCTACAGAGGAAAGGAGAGGTGGAGAAATCCCCCCCAAAAAAACACTGGGGCTTGATTCCCCCCCTCCTCCACCTCTGCCTTTCCTCCTCCTTACAGGAGGTTAATCAGAATGGTGATTAATTTGTCCTGCATTATTTACATGCACAGCGCTTACCAAGCAAGAAAGCTGAAGTCTCAGCCTGTAGGGCAGCCATACAGTTTCTGAAGCTAATCTTGAATGCCTGGCCCTACAAGGGGAGGATCGGGTGCCATTGGGGTGTATCATCCTCCTTCAACCCTCCCTGGGACCCCCAAAATCTAGTCCACAGGGCTGAGGGGGAACCCTCCAGGTTGCGTTTTCAGTGCCGAGAGAGGCCTGAGAGAGGAAGAAGGTGAAAGAGCCCATGTTGTTATGATTTTCGGCCCACTCTGTTCTGCTCTGGTTCAGGCCTCACCTTGTAGGGTCCATCTGGTCTCCCTTTCTGGGCACCCTGTGTGAAGAAAGAGATCATCAGGCTGTCCGGAGGAGCGCAACACTTTGTGGAAGCTGGTGATTCTGCGGAATGCACGTTGGCCAATTCCTTGCAGTTTTTAGTCCGAACTTTACAGGATTTCTCTAAAATGCAGGTCCTATTTGGGTTCAGCACCACAGAGATCTTCTTGGAATTCAGAGAGGCCCTTCTCTCGCTCATCTCTCATCGGTCTACACAGCAACCAAGAAGGCAGATCATCTGGAAACCATGTCCTCTGTGAAATGGAACCTCCACTCTCAGCTGCAGCCTACCATGAAGTATCAGAGAAACAATGGAAGGATTCCTCGGTTGCGTTCCCGCTTTCCCCCAGAGGCTCCCTGATTATGGATGTTCAGTCATCGTTGAAAAAAGGTGGATGGACTTTAGATCGGGGATGGGAAAGGTATGTATGGTGGAGCAGATGATGATGTACTACGACTCCCATCAGCCTTATGCACCACACGCAAGGAGGAAGAATAATAAAGAAGATTTTTCAGCCACTGGTTGACCATTCATGGTTTGAAATGTCTGATCTTATTTTCAGCACCGAGGACAGTTCTTGAAGGATAGCAGTGGTGAGCACCCCCCAAAGAACCAGACCTCGTGACCTTTCTGTTCCCAAGTAGGGCCAGAGAGGGGAGCCCCTTTTTCCCCTGGAAAATATAGGATCTATCTGTGGGTGGGTGAGCTTTAGGGATCCGCTCTCTGCCTTTTTTAAAAAAAATCACAACGCCAAGAATTCGTAAAAAGATCAGCCTATGCTTGCTGGGCTTTGTAGTCCCGGAAGCTCTGCTCTGGGGACCCTTGGGAAGCAATCCAGGAGGATTTCTCTGGCAACCCTTCCTCTCCCTCCACGCCCCCCAACCTCCCGCCCCACG